CCCATGTTCCTTTCAAGTAGTCTTACCTTGCTGGTTGAGTGTCACAGAGGCCTAAGGAAATTGGTCTAGAGGGTGATGCATCTTCATCTTGTGATGAAGAGGGACAGTGAGAGTGAGGGGAATAATAACCACAGCTGTGTTAGTCATGATGATCACTGTCTGTTATTCAATGTATTCATTAGACTTGATTTTGAATTTTAGGAAAATAGGACATTCAAGATTAGAAAGAAAATCGATGACATTCCTACATGTGCCCAGGAATCTGCTCGACAGACTCATTTTCCATCTAATAATAATAATATTAATAATAATTTTGTGACTGTCTGAATTAGTTATGTATGGTTTCGTTTGAGAGTATAAATGATGTCTAATAAACCAGAAAGGCTTAAATGAGAAAACAATGGTAAATCATCATTTTAGCTCTTGCATATGCTTCTACAAAGACAGAGGGAAAGACTGGGCCATGAACACTGATGAATTGAGTGATGCACCGGTGCAACAGAGGCAGTGGTTTACGACACCAACTGTCTGCCATCTATAATCCAGTTTTGAGATCCCTTCACAGAACCTTAACCCACTCCTGGGCACATTTGACCTCAGGAAATCAACATGATAGGGTGGGGTAGGTTTCACAGCGGGTTCACCCGAAACCTTGGCTGATTGTGATCTACACCCTTTTTCACAACTTAGTTCATGTGATTAGATAGAGGACCAACAGGGGGACCATGTCCCTCTTGGGAGACACAAACATAGGGCTTAAATCTCCAGACCCTTTTCTTTCCAAGCTCCTTGACCTGGATGACTGAGAATCTTCACACATGATGCAATAAGCAATGGTAACGTAATTATGACAGTCAGGCTCTTAGTCTCTGTGTGACTGGCTGCAGAAATTAACTATTATAATCTAATACCACAGTAAGACTGGCTGGACGTAAAAAAAACTTTTTGGTTTTTTGGGGTCTCAAAAGAAGCAGAATCAGTCAGAGGACTCTGTCAGTAAACAAAAGACACCACTTAAGATTTCTAGTCAGATGTGATAAAATTCATTGGGCCAGAACAATCTCTCTTAGAGGTCAATTTAAACAGGACAATGAAATGTGGGGATTATATCATTTTATATCATTTTATATCATGTTGATTCTTTTATATCCTTTTATTTAGCTTTGAGCAGTGCCATTTGATTAAACATTTATTCCATTTATTTAACATACAGTTTTAACTATATTATTACACACATTGCATTTGTGCTCATGACAGAGTTGAGCATACAGACTGATGAAGGTTAAAAGTGTCTAAACTGATATATTGATGAAATGACCTGTATGCTGTGAATGAAGGCCTAACATGCTTACATACACATAGACATGAAGTATAATTTCTAGGGTAAAGGTGAAAGACATCTTGCTTTGTCTCTGCTTAGCAACTAGTGATCCGGGGTCTACAGGAAACATCTGGAGGGGCCAGACAACCATATAGGGAAAAATGCTGTTGAACACGGAAACTTGTTGAACTGTCGTTAATTATAACCTATACATGTGATGTTTTGTCTGACGCGAGAAGGGGCGTTAACCCTGACATAATAACACTCCATATTCCAATCCGTAATGAAATATTAAGAAGCTTTGCAACTTCATTAGAAGACTTGTAAAGTCACAAAGTTCTGTTCCCTTCTCTGGTTTGTGGATTAAAAAAAAACGAGTGAGTACATGAAGGCTCATTTTAATCCTTATACTGATATTTGGCCTGATATAATTATAAATATTCAAGTAGAAAAGAGCTCCACCTCTCAGCATCTTAAACATATCATCATCTCACTTCTCAAGACAATCAGTCTGACCTAAAAAATGACTTTTCTTTGACTCTACTGAACAGTTTCTGCTGCATCATGAAACAAGTCACCAGTTATGTGTGTGCACCACACATAGAGACATTTTCAGTCACCTTTGCAGGTGTATTTCACTGCTTACCACAAATTTGGTTCATCTGTTTTGGAAAACAAAGCAATGCAACACATTTACATTAGTGATTGACCACAGGGAGTACCTGCTGTTTAGAAGAAATGAGATGCAGCAGATTTTTTTCTTTTGAACAACATTCGTGCACAAGCAAAAAGAGCAGAAGCAACAAGTGGTTTAATTTAACAAATGTCTACATAACAGACAGCATTTGTTAGCATGTGAACTTTATTGGTACTTATAGTTATTTATAGTTTAATTATATACATAGCAGACAATGTACAGCTTGTTCAATTGTAATAACAATGTGTGATAATTCACTCAGATGTGATTTTGTCTTCATGCCACTATTTTTCTGAGACCTGTTAGAGTTACAAGAAGTACAGAACAAAAATGTATTTATTTTTCTTTAAAGGGTAGAAAAAATGCTATTGTTAGTATTGCAGACCAAAATTAACTTCTCAGGGCATCTTCGTTACAAGCATGAATTTTTTGCCATGAACAATACGTTTTATTAATATTGCTGGTATTTAATATTTACTACCCATCACATATTACATGTTATCTGAATGTGATGCACAAGGAATCATTAGTCACAGTTAATCTCACCTTTGAGTTTAGTCTCACCTGGGCGTAAGGTGTAGTAAATGGCTCTAGAATATAACATGTCATCCTCTAATGGAGAGATACAGCCATAGTGAGAGGAGTTTTATCTTAATGACATAAATATCAGCTGCTCTAAACAGTTTCTTGATTTTTACCCTGCATTTTGTTAGCATAGCTAGTCAAGCTTTAGTGTTTGTGTTCCTTTTCCTAATATCACTTCTAATTAATATGTAGAACCCATCATATTTAAATACTGCACATATGGAATCATTAATCTCACCTTTGAGTTTAGTCTCACCCGGGCATAAGGTGTAGCAAATGGCTCTGGAATATAACATGTCATCATCTAATGGAGAGATACAGCAGGAGTGAGAGGACAGACAACCACAGTAACATCAGTGATGATGAAAACTATTTGCTTTTCACTGCATTCATTAGATCTAATTTGAAATCTTGGGAAAATCTGACAATCAGAAGAAAATAATGTCACTGTTACATCAGAACATTGTTTTTCTGCCGTTTCATCTTAATGACATAAATATCAGCTGATCTAAACAGTGTCTTGACTTTTATTATACATTTCATTAACATAGCTAGTCAAGCTTTGCATTGCTTTTTTAGCATCACAGATTTGAGGAATAAAAAATTATATTTTACACAATTTGTGTATTTTTCCCAATACTGAAATTTTTAAAGGTTTTAAATATTTTTCTTTTGAGTCTCTCAGGCTTTTAAAGAGTTTCATTCAAAAATTAGAGTGAATATTTCATTCTATATAATGTGTACATATTTAACAAACAAAAACAAAAAAAACAAAAACAAGGCAAAAAAGAAGACCATTTCGTCTTATGTTTTCATTTGTTCAAAATGTTTTAAATTATTTATATATGAATGTATAAATTATAATTGTATTTATTACTACTACTAAAAATTAAAAAAATGATGCCCGATTAAATATCTTTCCTCTTTCTTATAATATACATTGTTTTTTTTCCCCAAATATAATAACAATTAATAGACACAACATTTGTGTTCAAACACAGTTTGATTCTCAGCTGAGCCTGAATTATGTGCTTTTGTTGACAGAAAAAAGCATCTCCTTTAGAAAGAAATGCAAATATTAATTGTGATTTTTCAACATTAAGCATGACATAAATGTAACACATTTTTCAGTTAACAATATTTATGGTGCAATGATTCCAGATTGCTTTTGGTTTAACAAAGCATGATGTGAGTGTGCAAAAAGCAAAAGCAATTAACACAAGGTTTCATGGCTTTTAATGTACAAATTATCACAACACAGGGACTCCAGCAACACTTTCATCGGGATCATGCCCCTGATGAAGACCTAGACGCGTTGGTCAGTTGATTAAGTTGTTCCTCTTTAATTTTAAGTTTTGCTGGAGTCCCTGCGTTGTGAGTTTTTCATCTTCTCCATGCACGTTTGAAGTAGGTGAAGTTGTGCCAGAAATTTTTGCTGCAATATACAAACTATTACCTTTACTTCTGTACAAGCAATCGTTGACAAAGTACATTCCGAGCAACAGCAACAGAGCGTCCAATAAAGTAAAGACAAGGATCCAAGGTGCTTCCTCTGAAGGGAAAAGGTTCGCCTCTTTGAAACAGTGTGAATGTTGAATGTGAAAAAAAGTTAAAAGAGAAAAGGAAGATAAAAGACCTGAAGGTTACGCAACACTGCAAAAAACGATTTTCAAGAAAGTAAAAAAACCCTTGTTTATGGACATTTTTTCTTATTTTTTGTCTAAAAAGAAAATATATTCTTAACAAGCAAGTTTTGCACAAGAAAATAAATCTTATTCTAGGAAAATATGTCTAACTTTTCCTTAAAAGGATATTTCAGCTCATCTTGAGCTTTATTTACCAGTTACAAGGTATGAAAACCGTTTGGTTGAAATTCCCTAATAAAAACAAGATTATTTTTCTCATTTCAAGAGTAAGGCCACTTAAACAGCTGCTCAGTTTAAGAAATGTATTTATTGACACTAAAGTGTAATAAAACTGCTGCCAAGTTTGACAAAACATGCACAAAAGCTGGAACTAAAAGCACATGATAAACATGAAATACAGGCCCATTTGAAAAACAGAAACGGCATAACTCATTCACTTTAGGCCATGTCTGATGCTGATCTATTAATCTGTTTGACAAGTATCAGTACACATATCTTCACTGTGGCAATGCTACAATCGCATTCAACTGTCAGATTTGATAGAAAACTCAACAACAAAACTGTCCAAAACAATAAACTGATAATACAGTTCATGCATGTAAAGCAGTGTGCCTTTTATAAAACATCTGTTGAACTCATGTGTAGTCCAATTACATCACACAGGTAATATTTCATGACTGCATATGTCATATCTTTGTGTGTGAAACTGTAATATGGAGTGAAATCCATAAGATTATCAGCGGATATCAGCTCCGTTGCTTGTGCCATGTTTGGAATCTCTATCTTATATGACATGTAATCTTTGTCATAACAAATGGTATTGTGCTGCTGGAATTCAAAACAGTACAATGATGAATTGATCACATAGATATTTTTCACAAGCCCAAATATAGGTAAACTACTAGAACCAACAGCACAAACAATTAATGACCTATCCCTTATGTATTTGTTACCATTTAGATTAAGCCATTTAACAGTCACTGCATGGTTTACTTCATCATTTCCAAGGAAGGCCCTCATTTTTTCTTTTAAGTATGACATTATGCTTACTTCTGAGGTTGGTCCTAATGTGCATTCATTGGAAAAAATGGGGTGATCAAAACTATCCACATTCTGACAACATTCATACATTTGATTATGCTTTATTAAAGATTTGCAAACATTTTTAAAATTTATTTTTGACGCCCATTGTTTGAAAAAGCAATGTTTCGATTCAAATCTCATGCACATATGACGGACCATTGGTCCCAAACGTTTAATTTGGCTTGGTGTATGAATCAAATAATGTTGTTTTGGTGTGATGTTGTTATATGGGAATAGGGCTTTCATGTGCTTCAAGTGCTGTTCAATGAGGATTTTCAACTTGTTAATAGTCTGCAGACTGATGACAGGAGCAAGTAAAATCTGAACTATCTCAATGAGTTCAAGAATGAATGCGTAGTGTTCAGTACCTTTGGCTGCATCAATCAGAAATGGCAAAATTTTCAGAAGAACAATCATTTGCCCCGAGGACTGCTTCAACTTATTGTCACTGGAAGCTAATGTACTGTAGGTAATAACACTTGGTTTATCTCTAATATCAACTGGAGAGTATGGGAAACCAGTCACTGCAGCATTGAAGAGATCTAAGTCTAGCTCTCCCATAATCAAAACTAGCTGCCATTTGTCTACTTGCCATTGCAAAAAAGAGTCCGCTTTCTGAATGTGGTGTAGATGGAATCTTGCAAAGGCTGCATGAGGACTTAGTAAAGCTATATAATGGAGTTAAAATTCAAACTGGAAATGGTGAACGTGAAATATTTGGAGCATTAGTTTCATTATGTGGAGACACTTTGGCACAACATGAGCTTTGCGGGTTTCAAATCAAATCAAATCAAATTTTAAAGAGGGTGTTGGGTTTGCTCATAGTAAATGCGGGCAGTGTGATTGTTCATTTTTTTTTTTTTTTTTTTTTTTTTTTTTTTTATTTTTAAATGACATCAGAAACAGCAGTATGCGACATTACGTGATGGCAGAGCTTCAGTTCATCCTTTGTCATTTTTTTTTTTTTTTTTTTTTTTTTTTTTTTTTTTTTTTTTTTTTTTTTTTTTTTTTTTAAATATTAAATAGGACAGGGGGAATAGGAAAGAGGGGGAGAGAAGAAAGAAAACCAAAGGGGAGAAGAGACGGTGAGAAGGGGGAGGGAAATAAACAATCCTGGGTCACCTGTATGGAGAAAAAAAACAAAAAAAAACAAAAGAGGAGACAGCAAACAACAAAGAGCAACAAATAAGAGAAAACAAAGCACCATCACAATAAACTAGCTAGCAGTAGATATCAATAGTTACTAAATAATAAACGATATTGTGCAGCACGCAAGATAGACAGCGCACAGATGTGCTTTGAGGCAGCAGCCAAGAAAGCTTTAGTCCGCGTCTGTGAATACCCAGTGTGTACACCTGTGTGCATACCTGTGTGGATCAGCATGCTTGCATTCCAAAGGTTTCTCCATGTATGATCTGCTAGGGAGTGTGGGGGGGCCACAGCCCCGTCCTCCAGGGTTGAAGCGAGGTATGGAGGAGATCAAAACTCCAGACATCCAGAGGCCCCCAGAACACAAGAGACCATGGAAGACCAACAGAGGGGCAGCCTGCGCCACTGTTCCAGAAAGAGCTGAGGAGAGTCCCAGATGAGGGCTCCCAGCAGCTGCGGAGCAGAAGCCAGGGGGAGTTGCAGTGACGCGCCCGTGAGCTCCGCCGGCCCCAGCTGTGCCTGAGTGACCGAGCCCCAGGCCGAGAGGCCGGGGGCACCCCACCTCCAAGGGGGCCCGAGCGAGCCCCAGGCCCCAGGCCC